ATTTATTTATTTATTTATTTATTTATTTGTTTATTTATTTATTTGTTTGTTTGTTTGTTTGTTTTAATGTCGGCTCTGTGATGAAATGGTGACCTGTTTCGGATGTATCCCTTCTCTCATCTAAATATGGAGTAGGCACCAGCTGCAACCCTGATCAGGATAAACCAGGTACACAAAATGAACAAGTGGGAGAGACAGAGAGAGCACTTTTTCACTAACTTTAAGCACTTTATAAACTAACTAAAGAGCTAAGTCAATTCTTCTAAGCTGTGTTCAAATACCAGGATGGGAAAGAGCAAGAAAAACAAAAGCAAAACAACGCTGCTCTTTCTCACCTTGAAATGAAAGTACCTTCCTTGATAAAAGGCTATTAAGTCTAATCAGGCCTGATTAATTATCCAGATACACCCTTGGCTTTCTAACCCATGTGATGACTTTATCTGGTTTTTGCACTGTGCTGAGTGGATGCTGTTGTTCCTCATGAGAACCCAGGAAGAGCTGTTTGAAGGTTATTGGTGCTGAACGGAGAGGTCTGTGGTGAGGAGTGTTTTCTTTCAGCAGGTATAGGAAAAAATGCACCGAAGGGTGACCTGCATCTGATAATTACATATGAGCTTTAGTTTGGTTCAAGTTTTTCAGAGATGAATGAACAATATAAAGTAATTTTAATACTTAATGATTTATTAAATGTGGTGTCAAGTTTAAAATAAAATGTTAAAAATTTCACTAACACACTTATTATTTAGCTCACTTTAAACAGGCTGTGGTTCATTTCCAAATATTTAAATGTTAACTTCATCATTTAACAACATTAAAGATGTCATTTTTACATTTAGATTTACATTTAGATTCACATGCTGAATGTTATTTACCATTTAGTAAAAATGAGCAAAATATAAGAATAATACATTTCTAATGATAATTATAGTTTTTAACATTTTATTTTACACCTGGCACTTCATAATATTATGTCATCTGAATATATTTATTCATTTGTACGTGAATTTCAGTCTATGGAGTTGGTGACGAAAATTCAGCCTGGAAGACTGGTGACCTCACCTGCTCCTGCAGACCTCCATCTCAAGCTCAGCTGTGTCCAATCATCACAACTCAGCTTCGTCCAATCAGCTCCTGTCTGTCAGTAAATAAAAGCCAGTCACCTCGTTCACTCAGTCTGCGTGCTAGCTGGCCGTCGGCCTGCCACCACCCCTTCTCCACCATTCGTCTTCTGGAGGGGGTGCGTCTCGACTGGTTCTTCCACGTTCGGCCGTGTCTCTTCCCGTCCCTCAACCCAGCCGGTCAAGACAGATGGACGCCTGTCCTGAGCCTGGTTCTGCTGGAGGTTTCTTCCTGATAATAGGGAGTTTTTCCTCTGTTGCTCAGGATGGGAGTCTGTGATGAAGTCATTCAACACAAACTGCTGGCTGCTTCTTTAGACCTTTTCAAGACCACCACCACCAGTGTCGGGCCCCGGGGGGATTAAATCTCTACCCCTAACTAAAGCATCTYGTGTGAGATTACAGCTTCACTCAGCRCTCTCGTCCTCTGCCGGGGTCCGAGCGCCAAACTCTAATGCCATTTATGTCATAACATTGTTGGTCTGGTCATGTCAATAAACCTCCTAAATTTCATTCTGTCTCGTGTGAGTCTTTCCAGGTTGAATTATCATTTACTCACTCAGGAAGACAAAAAAAAGACACTTATGATTATGATCTTTTAAAAATATTACTGTATTAGTAATTTTGTTTTAAAGGTGAAACAAAAACTCATTCAAATGTTAGGCACTCTACGAAATGTTCTGTATCGTCTCCTAATTACTATGCTGACATTGTATACTAATTAAGCAATTTGATTTGATCTGATTTTTCTGAGTTTTTGAAACTCCCTGGGAAAAAGGAAAACCATTGTCCTAAAATTAGCATCTTAGATTTTTCTTCACACTGCATGAAAATCTCAACATTAAAAGAACTGATGAAGAAGAAAACAGAAAATATGTCTGTGCTTGCATTTTAGTCATCCACAAAGAAACCACTACATCGAGAGAAGAGGAAAAAGTTTTCAGAGTAGTCATCACACCATCAGCCAAAGCGGTTACGATGACAGGATGACTTCTAATAGGCTAATAATCATTGTTCATCCCCAAATGCTAATAGACAATCACAAGAACAAACTAAGGGTTCTGCTTCTGACCGTAGACTCTTGTGAGCTAAAGATGATTAGCTACATAGATCTAAAAAAAGAAGCACCTGCAATACAGTCTACATAGAATTAGTGGCAATCATTTTACAGAT